CTATTGCCCTAGCAAATCTTGCAGATAGCAGTACACCATTGTAAATAAAGGTTTTGTGGCTGGATTGGTGTCTATGTTTCTCTTTTGGTAGCATGTACTTTCCTGTACTCAAGACTCTATAATGTAGGGATGAAGGCTCCAAGTAGAAAATGGCTAGATATCTCCATATTCAGTGAGTTTTGTAGGTGTTTTCTTCAGCAATGGGGTCTTGCTGTCAGTTTTTGGAGAGAAATCTATAGTCTTGGCAACAGCCCGAGTTGTTTCAGAATTTCCCTGGGACCCCTATGGCCAACAACTCAATTAGATGTAGTCCAAACCCGATACTGGAAGCTTCATTTGGTGACAAAAGATATCCAGTTGAGACCCTATCTTCTCCATTATTTGGTGATTTCATTTAGATTGCCTTCATCTATGTATGTATTTTAGGAAGTTTCTAGTGTATTAGGTTACCATATCACCCTCAAATGATCCTTATTTTTAGCTGTTTTGCCCTGTGTTCCTTCCCACAAATCCCTCTCCCCTCCCTTTCCCCACTTGATCTTTCCATATGCCCTCTTACAGACAGTCTTTCATACAGAAAAAAATGAGAAAACCATTTACAAAAATTGATCAAAGAATTTAGGAAGGGGGCCGGGCGGTGGTGGCACACACCTTTAATCCCAGCACTGGGGAGGCAGAGCCAGGCGGATCTCTGTCAGTTCGAGGCCAGCCTGGGCTACCAAGTGAGTTCCAGGAAAGGCGCAAAGCTACACAGAGAAACCCTGTCTCGAAAAACCAAAAAAAAAAAAAAGAATTTAGGAAGGACTACTACATTGTCATGAATTTAAAAAGTTGAAATATACTGATTATTAACTATGTATTTTAGTATAAATGACTTGATAACTAGGCAAGTATCATGAATCTTGCTCTTTTTCTTTTGTTAATATTTACACACAAAATGTCAAATATATAAAGCAAAAGCATTATATTTTTGTCTATTTGCTTTACATTTAAAATGCTTCATAAAATAGATGAAATTTATAAAATATGTAAAGGTTTAAAAATATATTTATGTTTTATTCATCATATAAATACTTTGTTTAAAATTGATATTTAGAAATGTAATTTTAAAATATGACCATCTTTCTATTTTTAAATGTAGTATATCTATAATTTGACAATTATTCATATAGAGTGTGTAGCTGCCATTCTCTTTCCACCCTACCTGCTGTCTCTTTTATCCCTGTCATTCTAGTTGACACTCCTACTCCTAATTACTCCCCTCCTGCTTTCATTCCTTTCTACATTTGTACATATTGTGTGCTAGTGGTCACAGCTATTGTGTGTTCATGATTGTCCATGTCACATTCAGATGATAAATTTTATAGACTTCCTCCCATCTTCCGATTTCACAGTCCTGCCACCCCTCTTCCTCTATGAAGTCTTGGCCTTAAGGTAGGTGGTATAGATGTCCCCCTATGGATAAACACTTAGCAGTCTTCTATTATCAGCAGCTTGACCAAGAAATTGTAAGTCTCTGGTATCACTGTTGCCCACTACCAAAAGAGTTTTCTCTGTCTAAGCCTGAGACCTGCACTAATCTATACATATAAACATAAGTGCTCAGAAGGCAGTTTAATTACACATCTAATAAGTAAAACCTCAGAAGCTGGGTTAGATTTTCAATGACCTCCTCCCCGCCAGCTTACATAGTACATACTGGTACTCAGAATGATAGTCAACAGAGACAAAGTGTCCAGGTTAGTTCCAGCTTGACTTTTTTGTGCTCTATACCCCAAAAGTGTAATACCTTCAGAAATAGGGTCATAATCTAGTTCTGATGGGCAACAAAGAGCAATGAATAAGCTGTACATTTTTTAAAAAACCTATAGATCTTTAATCCCAGCACTCGAGAGGCAGAGCCAGGCGGATCTCTGTGAGTTCGAGGCCAGCCTGGCCAACTACCAAGTGAGTTCCAGGAAAAGGCGCAAAGCTACACAGAGAAACCCTGTCTCGAAAAAAACCAAAAAAAAAAAAAAAACCAAACAAACAAAAAAAACCAAAAAACCTATAGATAGAAATTATAAATTCCCAAATTACAGGTGAGATTATAGTGACTCAAAAAACAATGAGTTGGAATTTAAAAAGAACTAAGTATATCTTGTATAGGCCACCAGACTAAGAAACAATTATCTTTTTAGATAGTTGAAGATATTTACCTTTATTTTTCATGATTAATTATTGTGACTAGGAGGTTGTCTGTGGAAGTTGTTGATGAAGTAAATAAAACCATTGTCTCAGATCTTTAAATGGGTTAAATAGTTTAATGTTTGCCTAAGACAATAATAAAATATGTTGGAAGCCCATGTCTACTTTATAAGGACAATGATGATATGCCAATCAGTACTTCAGTTTCACTGGGTAGTAAATGCAGAACACAAAGCCTATCACCATACCATTCACTCACCTTAATCATATTGACTATTGACTTATAAAAAGATAAAATGAAAGGTTGGATTGCAGGATACAATCTAAAAAAATAATCCACCTTACAAAAACCCAGCCTAATAGAATGAAACACATGACGATGTTGTTAGTGAAATGAACTAGAAGGAATGACCTCAGATTTAGCAAGAGGATGTTGTAAAGAAGAATTGGAGACAATTAAAAACAAAACCTAAATATGTGGAATTAAAAACAGGTTGAAGATAGCAGGAAAAATAATTAATGGGGTGGAAGATGGGCATTTGAAATGAGTAAGTCTAAACAGAAAAAGAAATATTGAAGAAATTAAAGCTGACCTGGTCATTATATGTTTTAAAAGAAAAGAAAAATAATAGAGAAACTGAAAAAAATCCATATAAAATGAAACAGCCAGAATAATGATAGATAAAGAGTTAGATACTGTACCAAACTAATACGACACAGCAGGGCTGAGGTCTTTAGTATTAAGTGGTTCAAGTAACTGAGGTAGAATGAAACATGGCAGTTATATGCCTTTAAAACAAATATTTTATTGCTTCCCCAGTAAAATTTAACATAAAAATTTCACGAAATATTTCAATGTATTAGGATCCGCTAATAGTACCTACTAGCTCATATTCACAATAGTTTCATAAAAGCAGTTTAATAGATGTTTTCTGCATGTATGATGATTACTTCAAAAGGTTTGGAATGGAATTAGCAATAAAATGAATGTTATCATCACTCATTAAAGACAGGTCTGGAGAAAGAACTTCAGAAAAAGAAGATACCCCTTAAGATGTCTGGATGAGAAGATGGAATGCTGGGGAATGAATGGTCTGAGCTAGACCTGCTGGCAGAGTCCTATAGCCCAAGCTGATCAGGTAGGCAGGGCAAGCAGGTCAAACACAAGACTTGCCTAGGTTGCCGAGTGAGTTAAAGGCAACTGTGAAAATAAAATACTAAATAACATAAACAAAAAAATATTGATTATAAAAATCAATGAAATATGAGACCACATGAATGTGATCTATTCTCGGCATTAAAAGGCTGTAATTTATTTTTTACATTTATTTATTCAATTTTGAGATGTTGGGATAGCATCTATGATTTTATGCACATTTGGAAGGATTGTAATTTATTGCATTGTTCAGTAAGAAGGTAAGAATGTACCTAAATAGAAAAGCTGAAGCATTGCTTGGAATCAGCTATGTAAATTTGTATTTTTAAGATTAAATATACAAAGTTAAGATGTACAAAAATAGAAATATAAAATTAAGAATAATATATTTACTACAAGAAAAAATGGTACAAATAAATGAAAGAAATTTTAAAGGACACATTAAATATTTTGAGATATTTAGATGTTTATAAGATGCTAATCACAACCCATGCATATATATGAAACTTACCAGTTTAAACAGAAGAAAGGGATGAAGAGAGCCCAGTACTTAAAGCATTGCTTCAGTAGTGTGCAGGCCTGGGTTTCAACCTCCAAAACTAACATCAAGCCAGGCATTGCAGCTAGAGTATCTCTAATTCCAAAGATCATATAGAGAAACAGAAAGCAAAGACACAGGATTGCCATGAAGCTCATAGATGAGATACCCTGGCCTATGTAGTGGTAAAACAGTGAAGACCATGCTTCATATAAGGTAAAAGGAAAGAGCTAATATTGGGAGTTGTGTTCTAACCTCCAAAGCCTGTGCTGGGCACATACACAGACAGCCACCACATGTTCATGTATATAAAGAAGAAATACATAAGTAAAATATAATTAATAAATAAGAGATCATTAGATTAGAATGGAAATAAAGAAAACAAATGGAAAATAATACAAATTCAGGTTTTTGAAAGTGAAAATGAAAACTCAAATATAATTCTAGGACTAGTCCTTTTAGTTTAAAAAATAAGAAAAGTTTACTACCAAGGAAAAGACTCACTATTCATTGGAAAAGATAAGTTGCTAAGTAAATAAAAGAATCTTAAATGGGCACTCACCTCAGAACATACTGCATATCTCATTTACATATGCATTAAAATTCAGAAAACTGTAAGGATAAATTATGACTTTGTTTGTTTCTTCCTTCCTTCCTTTCATTCTTCCTTTTTTCTTTTACTTTTTAAGGATGTCCTGTGTAACCTAGGCTGGCTTTGAAGGCTGAAGGGTAGAACATATTACTTAAGCCTCTATTAATATACTCTGAACACTACAGATACAGCATTTCAAAAAGAAAAAAAATGATGTAACAAAATACAATTTCTGATATAAAAATATAAACAGGAACAGAACTCATAGATTAAGAATGGAAGTATGGAATTATATATTCTGAAGTTTTGTATTATACCCTATGATTAATGACCTAACTTACCCACATTATTTGGTAAAAATAATTTCCCTCTAATAAATGAAATAAATATATTTCAGGAACTTTATAAAGTTCATATGAAACATTTATTTTGTTTTTTTTAACAATTTTATAGTTAGCAAATATACACACATTTATGTATACATATATATATATATATACATATATATAATTAAAAAGAGAAGCTGGGGTCTGATCTTGCTCTTCTACCTAGTTTTTTATGGGTTCTTGGCTGCACTCTTCACATTCACAATGTGGGCCATGCTCCAGACTCTGAATGATGAGGTTCCGAAATACCGAGACCAGATTCCTAGTCCAGGACTTATGGTTTTTCCAAAACCACTGACTGCCTTGGAATATACATACAGCATGTCTGAGCAGCCTACTTTTGAAAAGTTCACCAAAGACCTGAAGAGGTTCCTAAAGCCATACTCTGTAGAAGAACAGAAGAATCTCACAAACTGTCCTGATGGAATACTTTTTAAACAGACTGGTCCAGATTATCAAGCATGTCAGTTTCCAGTTTCCTTGCTTCAAGATTGTAGTGGTGTGAATGATGCTGATTTTGGCTATTCCAAAGGACAACCTTGTATTCTTGTGAAAATGAACAGAATAATCGAATTGATGCCAGAGGGATCACCACGGATAGCATGTGAGACAAAGGATGAAACCATAGCAAATATATCAACTTATCCTGACTTTGGAGTTATAGACTTAAAATATTTTCCATACTATGGGAAAAAACGGCACGTCGGGTACCGACAGCCCCTCGTCGCCGTCCAGGTCCTCTTTGATTCCAGTGCCACCAAGAAAGAAGCAACCGTTGAGTGCAAAATCGATGGATCACAAAACCTCAAAAACAAGGATGAACGTGACAAGTTTTTGGGACGAGTTGTGTTCAAAGTCACAGTGCGCCAGTAGGAGTAGGCCTCTCCACGAATAAATGTTGTGCTGTCTCCATTTTGTATCAGCTGGACCTGCCATTCTAGGAATATGAGGCCACCTTGGAGGAGGTGGTGTGGTACACACACTGGGATGACATCATAACGAGCTTCCAGATCATAGTGTTCAGTGTCCTCTGAAGTAACTGCCTGCTGCCTCTGCTGCCCTTTGAACCAGTGTACGGTCGCCAGATAGGGACCAGTGAGCTCCCAATTCCAAACATGCAGAGTGGGGGTCTCATCTTCTGTGTGTAATTGCCAAACGTCTAAAGCTTAATGTGCTATGCTCTGTAAATATTTTATGGATTTAACACTGGTAACTGTCATATTTTGATGCCAACCAAGTTTTAGGGATAAAATGGTACCTTGCCAACATCAAGTGACTTTAACTGCAAGAAATGTGTGAGAAGTTCTGTATGTGAGGAGGAAAAAAATAAAAGTGGATCTGAAAAAAAAAAAAAAAAAAAAAAAAAAAAAAAAAAAAAAACAAAAACAAATGGCGTCCAACGTGGTGGCAAGAGTTTCCACCTAAAACCTGAAAAAAGATTCTAAAACGGAGCTAAAAACAGCTTCCTAATTGTCTCTCTCAAATGAGCGGCAGCTGCCGGTTTGAGCTACTGGCGGGTTGCTGGCGTGCGCGCTCGACCTGCAGTATGGCGGGAATGAGGCCTCTGCAAGTGGCACATTAAGCTACATTGTGGATTTAGCCTTTGCTAGTACAAAACAAAAAAAGAGGTTTCTGGGCTACACGCTGCTTGGATAAAAGCATAGACCCACGATAGCTCCCAGAGCTGGTGGTAAAGTACCACGCCAAGTTGGGAAGCTGAGGTGGGCGGAGCCAGCAGCCACAGTTGCTGCAGCTTAAAGCAATAGATTCACAATAAGACAGATTCAGATGTAATAGTTTAAAATGTGTGTAAAATATACGTAGGCTTGAAAGAGACAAAAAAAGGTGATATATACAGTATAGAAACAAATACATGGTTTTAAAAAATAAAGTCTTTAAAGAGACAGTAAAATTAATATAAAAAATAAGCCACGTAGAGATGACTATTACACAGAGAGTCTGGATTGTGTTGTCTTTGGGATTCTTAACTACAGAGAGATATTTGATTGTAAAGGAAGCTGAGTTAAACCAGTATGTATATTTTAAAGATACTTTGACTTCAAAATTTGGATGTAAGGATATGTTGCTTTGGAAAAGAGTCTCTTTTGTTTCCACAGAAAGCAAGAGGCTATGGATTTGTTCCAGAGTAAGATACATCAGGTTTGACCAGCCAAGACCCCCTGAAAGGTCTCCGATGACACCATGGCCCAGATGATCCAACATCCAGAACCGTTTCAAGACAACTGGCTCAGATGATACAGCCTCACGGACTACTCCATGATCCTAAAATTTTCTTTGTTTCCCCAGAAGATACAGCGCCCCCCTCCAGCAGGAAGTAGTAAGAGAAGCTACGCCCAAATTCCCAAATATACCAAGCTGACTTTGGAGATGTGTAAAGGTTAAAACCTTCCTTTTTAAGAAAAGAAAAGGGGAAGTACTGTGGGATGGTCTGTATGTCAAATGTGTTGCTGATTGGTCAATAAATAAATCACTGATTGGCCATTGGCTAGGCAGGAAGTATAGGCGGGACAAGGAGGAGAATAGAGCTGGGAAGTGGAAGGCTGAGGAGAGACACTGCCAGCCGCCATCAGGACAAGGAAGATGTAAAGTGCCGGTAAGCCACAAGCCACGTGGCAAGGTATAGATTAATAGAAATGGATTAATTTAAGCTGTAAGAACAGTTAGCAAGAAGCCTGCCACGGCCATACAGTTTGTAACCAAAATAAGTCTCTGTGTTTACTTGATCGGGTTTGAGCGGCTTGGGACTGGCGGGTGAGAGAGATTTGTCCTGACTGTGGGCCAGGCAGGAAAACTCCAGCTACAGAATGGGATACAAGAGAGGTGTATACAGAACCTAGAGCCTGTGGTGGTCTGAGAAGGGAGGACAGTGAGATCACTGAGATGAAAGTGATGAATGGGGGTAAAGTCATCAAAACTCAAACCTTCAGTTAAACAACATGAAAAGCAAGAATCAAAATTCAAACAGCAGAGTAATACAAAGACTGATGCTGTTTTCACTTTGTAGTCAGGAAGGAAGGCTGCAAAGTTCATCCTCCAGGGACATCCAAGTCAGATCCACAGATGTTAAAGGTTCCAGGGAGCAACTTCAAAGAAGCCAGGGGATTCAACTCTCTGTAGCAAGGGAAGGAGTTAGAGGCTGTGGGAATTGCCACTGTCATTTGACCACCATTTGTAAATATTTTTGCCTTTTTTCTGGGATTTTATATTATTAGCACCAAACTAGCCTATAGAGCATGACTTCATAAATACTAAATGTTTGTAGGTATTCTTTGTTCTTAAATATTTTAGAAGAAAGATATTTTCTTTAACATTTCTTTTTGTACTGGGAATGAATGGACCCTTAGAAGCATTTCTTTCTCTAAAAAAATTAGGATGGGCATAGTAAGAATGAAAGATGTTAGAAAGGAGATGAACATTTAGGATCATAATACTAAAAAAAAAAAGAAGGAAAAAATATTATGCAGTATTCTGTCAGCTCAGTAACTTTGCATGTATGGCTGAAAACTAGTCTGGTTACACGTGGTGGTTTTTTTGGAAGTAATTATGGTGGCTGATCTCAACTGAGATGGCGAGCAATTCCGTTTATCCATTTATATTGCTAGCTACATAGGAATACTTATTAATTATTGCACATTAAGCAGTAATCAGCCTCTGTAGTTACCTCTGCAAAAAGAACATTCTCTCACCAGACTTGAGGACAACTCTAATTTATGAGTATTAACAAAGTAATTTAAATAAACTTCATGTGTGTATCACTCCCCCATTCCCACTACACTTAAGAAATATCTCTGGAGGAAGGTGTGGCCTGATTTGAAAAACTGTCACTGATGGTGTACTTTGAGGTGTCAACAGACTTCTGTCATTCCCAATGTTCTTTCTTCTTTGTGTTTGTGGACTGAGATGTGAGCAATACTGAACGCCTTGGGGCAAACTCCACATTATAGCTCCATGCCTGTTGTCAGGGAACTTAGATGACTCTACCCTTTCCAGGTTTGCTTCTTGACACACATTTCTCTCTCTTGGGCTGGTTCTGCACCTTCTCTGTAACCCTCCTTGTCTGACACCTCCAAAATCATGAGGTTTCCAGTCCATTGCATTCCAGGTTTCGCTTCTACCAATTCATGTAATAGCTTCTCAGGGCCTCCACTCAGGGACTGCTTGCCATATGCCTAGTTTCAACAGCTCACATCAACCATTCAAGAAAATTCCCAAACTGGTTTACCCGTTCATGACTCGAAAGCCAGTACCACATGGACTGTACTGAAAAATTTAAGTTGAACTTTGAACTTTGGAGCATGTCTCCTGTGAATCACATCTGCAGAAGCTTTTCTTGGTTATTGCTTTTTTTTTTTCTTTTTTGAGCAGAAAATTCTTCATGCTTTGCTGATTGGATACTTGTTTTCACGGCATGCTTCCCTTTATTCCGTTTCAGATCAGACTTCTCTTCACACTTCTCAACATTTTCCAGCAAAAGCCTTGGCTCCAACATTAAATTTCCTGGCACTCCTTTTTTTTCTTTACATTCCACTTTTTGTATTTCCTTTTACTCCGATTGTTCTTTTGCATTGTACAGCTGGATAAGAGTGATTCCCAACAACCACACAACAGAGTTAATATTAGGTTGTCTTGAAATCTCCTCTGCCAAAGAAATTAGTCCAACAGTTTTCAAAGTAGCCTCATGGAAATTTTTAGAACAAGGGCATAAATAAGTCACATTCTTTGCGAAAATATCACAAGAATTGCCTTTAGTTTAGTTGCTTACTGTGTTCCCTTCTGAATCCAAGTGAGCTTAACCTCTACAATCCACATCGCTCTTAACACTGCTGTCTTCCAAGCTAGGGTGGTCCATGAAGCCCTGTTCACGGTGTTCAGTGGTTTTCCTAGTCCAAAACACCCAAGTCCTTTACATTAAAAAAGTCAACAAAACAAAAACAAACACGTGGTCAGGTCTCTTAGAGCAATGCTCTACTCTCTTGTATCAACTTCTGTCTTAGTTACTTTTGTATTGCTGTGAAAAAACACCATAACCAAGGAAAGTTATAAAATAAAATGATTAGCCTATGATTTTAGGGAATTAGAGTCCATAATGGTGTACCAAAGGCATGGTAATAGCAACAGCCAAGAGTTCGCATTTTGATCTGAAAGTAGAAGACAGAGAGAGAGAGAGAGAGAGAGAGAGAGAGAGAGAGAGAGAGAGAGAGAGAGAGAGAGAGAGAGAGAGAGAGAGAGAGAGAGAGAGAGAGACTGAGAAGATGGCGAGTCTTTTGAAACATCAAATACAATCCCCACTGACATACCTCCTCCAACAAGATCACACCTCCTAATTCTTCCCAAACAGTTCCAGCAACTGAGGATAGAATAGTCAAATATATGAGTCTTTGATGGGCTTTCTCTTTTAAACAACCACAATTACTTATGGAGATAACACATGCCACATTAAAAAATAAATAAATGGTATTTCTTTAAAATGTAGAGTATTAAAGTTTTTCTTACAACAAAATGGATAAATTGTTCATGGTAAACTAACGGGACAGTTCCCAGGAATAACAAGAATAACTGCTAACTTCAAGTTAAATATTTTTGCCTAATTTTATAATGTTACATGAGCCAACTATTAATCATCTTGGCAAATGCTTAAAACTTGCACTTTAAGGGAACATGAACCTGTATTTATCCTAATTTCCAACTTCCATGGTGTAAAGATTCATTTTACAGTCAATGTTATCTACCAATGCATAATCAACTGCATCCAAAATTTCCTTTCCAAGTTGAAACTGGTTCTCCAGAGGCTCTGTGACTCTTGAGCAACTAATCATAAGACCAAGGATTCATTTCTCCATGCATTGTTGCCTGCCATATGCTCACCTTTAATTCCTGATAGGTTTTTTTTTTTTATCACTATCCTCAACATAGCAGTATGTTAATTGATTTATTTAGTCAATAATCATTGAACATATACTGTTTCCTGGGAATATGGAATTGGATTTCTCAGTGATCCACAGAAATTGGGTCTTTATTTTCTCATCCAAGGGTTAATACATTAACTGATGGGAATGATGTAAGTGTTGCATAGGAATCACTGCATTGTAACTGAATCTGTGCCACATTTTATCCTGAAATAAAAAAAAAAATAAAAGCCTAGTCTAGTTGTGCAGGCTTGCAATCCCAGAACTGGGAGTCTAAAAAAAGACATTTACCTACTAGAGGCTGTCTGAACTATCTAGTAGGACTTTGTCTTAAAACTTAATACAACTGAAATAAAAATTGAGAAAATAAACACCCATTTAAGTAGTATCTTTAAAATGCAGCAATTTGTGATTTTTTTAAT